GTTTTTAGGACCGGGGTACATAAGTTATCAGGTCTATGAAATTTGAGTTACCATGTTATTCACACGGAAGTTAACAGAGGATATTTCATCACCCCTCCCCCCGGGTCGGTAAAGTTAGCAGGAACGGGGTACCTGAGCGCGAAAAAAACCAAACACTAAATTAACTCGTTTTTATGCATACATAGTAGAGGAGACATGTTAAATAGCCCATTTACTTTATTTTGTTCAAGAAAGGGATTGTAGGTCAGGTGGTAGGCAAGTTGAGTTGGCTCACTAGTGGTGCAAGGATCGAATCCTCTCTTGTTCACACCAATTTTTGCGGGAAAAAATCTCGAACGAAAAAGATCTAAAGAGGGAAAAAATGGATCGGGAGGAGAGCAAGAAAATCAGATCTGGAGCGGATCGTGCGTGCATGCAACAGAGAAAAGAAAAGGAAACTGTGACACTAAAAATGCACATAGAAAAAAAGTACTAACATTGGCACTTGATGAGTGAATCAAAAGATGACGTTGAAAAAAATTGTTGGCATTAAATGGGATGGCTGCACGGACAATCAAATGGAAGAAGCGAATGGCTTGAAATTAATTTTGTGAACCAACGCACAGGAACGAGCAAAATAATGGTGTCTTAATTATGCTGACGTGGCTCTGTAGGATCAAGTATGACGACTATCATTCACCTAACAAAAAGATGCGTAGTGGTGTGGTGGTAGGCTGCTGTAGGTCTTCTCTTGGAGACCTCAGTTTGATTCCAGACCGCAACAATTTTTTTACTCGCCCATGATGGCAGTTTTGCAGAAGAAAAAGGAAGAATCGGGATTTGTGCCTGTTGCAATCAACCAGTCGATTGGTCGTTAGATTTCACGAATTAATTAATGTTGCTCTAGTGCATCAGAGGGAGTTCCTTAATTTGCAGGCATCACAAAAAGGGAATTTTGTGGGTAAAAACAATGAAAAACGCTTACCATCATCCGGCGGATGACAACGGCCACGTCCGCCGCTTTCTCCGCGCTACACATGGCGCTGAGTCTCCTTTCCTTTTCTCAAACCTTATCTCCTCATCCGCTCGTGCGTCATTTTTCCTCCTTCTCCGGTCTACATCCCGTTGCCGGTGGGCATGCCGATAACGAGGCCTCCGTCAGCCATGCCCCTCCTCTTCTTCTCTTGCCTCCATCCTGCCCAAGTTCCTCCTCCGCCGCACCTCAAAGAAGATCTCGAGCCGCGCCCTGCCATCCCCGGGAGCACCAGCATCCGCGTCCGTTGTTGTCCCCCTGCCCGGGGAGCACCGATGTTGATAGCCATCGCTGCCGCCTCCTCGAGCTCAGTTTCCTGCAACAAGTTTTCTGCAACAACGGTGCTAATACAACCCCAGCAGCCACGGAGTGGCGGCGCTACTGCTCTGTTGCGGTCGGCGGCGACGTGCTTGACGCATGCAACATGGTAGTTATTTCTGCAACGCATCCGTTGTTTCAGGAATTGTTTCTGCAACCCGGCCATTGTTTCGCGAATTGTTTCTGCAATCTCCAAATTTTTGCAACATGGTAGTTGTTTCTACAACGCAGTCGTTGTTTCAGGAATTGTCTCTGCAACGCGATCGTTGTTTCACGAATTGTTTCTGCAACACTACTGTTGTTTCTGCAACTGGTTTGTTATTTCAGGAATTAATGTGTCGGGAAGGTGATGCACGCGTGCGAGGAGTTAGATCGGACGGTTCGCGCACGGAGATCTGACGGCCGTCGAGGTGGTGGATGTTTACTAGGCATGTACCGACAGACGTGGACGTGCAAACCAACCTGGGGTTGGATGGTTAGAGGGGCTGTGGTATCCACAACCCACCAGGGTTCAAATCCTGGTGCTCGCATTTATTCCTGGATTTATTTCAAGATTTCCGGTGATGCACATTCAGTGGGAGGAGACGTTCCCGTCGACGACGAGGCGCCTACGGTGACTTCGTAAATCTCAAGATGAAATGCCGGCTCAGTCTTTCGGAGGTGCTCATAGGGGTAGGATGTGTGTGTGCGTTATTAGGGGTGAGTGTATGCGCGTGTATATGAGGCTTGTGTCTGTACTGATGTTAAAAAAAGGGCGCTACTCTGCGCCAGCGCACCGGCGGAACGATTCGGCCGGTCCACCTAGGACCGTAGGATTCCAAGCGATGCAAATGATTGCTAAACATCGGATATGCCTCCCCCGCTTTGTTCTTTTTTAGCGAGCGCCGCACATCAGCGAGAGGAGGCTGCGGCGCTATCGATCCCCCGCCATAATCCCCCGCGAGGCGACCGAGTTCGAAGCACCGCCGCTCGCCGCCCTCGCCGACGTTCGCCGCCCTCACGCAATCTCCTCCTCCCGCTCAAAAAAAAAGATCCATGGAGGCACGAATCCTCGCCGGTTCCAGCATGAAAAATCCTCATGCACGCCATCAGATGCAGCTCCCTCCTCGTCGATGATTGCAGCTCCGTCGTCATCCCCTGCTTGCAGCTCAGCTCCGCCGTCGTCCCCTTCCTGCAGCTCCGATCTTGTCCCCTGGTTACAGCTTATCTTCATAGCAAACTCTGTTAGTAGCAAATGACATCTCTAGTAGTAGCAAAACTCCGATACGGTTGCAACAACAAAAATCCATCGCCGTCGTCGAGCAACGCCGCCGTGGATGGAAGTAGCAAAATTTGACTTCGGTTCCAGCAAAATCAAACATGGTTGTAGCAAAAAATAATCGATCAGAAAAAACAGGGATGTAGCATCTCGTGAGAATGAATGTAGCAATCGTCAACACCCGTGGTAACAAAAAACTGACAAAAAGTTGCATCAAGAAACACAGGACTGGGTCTCGCATGTCATGGAGATGGGATGTAGCAAAAATTCGACAAACACATGCAGTAACAAAAAATCAAACGGTTGTAGCAAAATCGTACGCCGATTCCAGCAAAAAACACCTTGAGAGGAGATTTTGGGCGGGGGTGGGTGGAAGCAAAAACATGAGCCGGTTCCAGCAAAATCAAAACAAGGTTGTAGCAAAAACTCGCCGTTGACGTGGTCAATTGCAGCTCAGCCATGGCGGCTAGCGCATCCGGCTTCGCCGGCCATGGAGAGGGGCGCACCCGGTTGCGAGCAACCCATGGCGATGAGCGCGCCCAGCTGCGCACTCCTCCCTGCTCGGGTGGCTGTGTCCGCGACCGACAGGCGGGAAGGCATGGGGTAGCTCGACGGCTAGAGATGAAGGAGAAAATGGCTAGCAGGAGCAAAGGGCTTCACGAGATGGAGGAGAAAATGGCCAACAGGAGCAAAAGGCTTCACGCCATGGCTGGGGTAGGTGAGGAGGAGAGGAGAGGATAAGGAATGAGATAAGATGGAAGAAGAGCACGAGCGACCGCTTTAGATGGGGAGTGGGTCCATCAAACTAAGTCGCGAGCGTGACTGGCCAAAGATTGGCCCGGCGCGCCGGCTCTAAACGTTTACCTAAAAAAAATCTACCGGCGGACGCAGAGGGTTGCCCAAAAACAATATATATCTGTGTGTACATCTACAATATTCGGGACCTTTTGAGGTTTCAAGCCACGAATACTATTTTCGTTTTATTTAAGGCCCTAGGTAGCCCCGAAAAGAAAAACCATCTCTCCATGCCCATCTCCTGTTCCCTTCCCCTCCCTCGAACCCTAGCTCCTCGTTGATGTGAGCCTCCCCGGAGATTCTCGATCCAGCTGCCGCCACCCCGCTGCCGACGGGCGGCTCCGTTCGTCGACCATCTCTTCCCCTCACCGGTAAGCGCCGAGCTCCTCCATCTGCGCAATGTCTACTTACGCCTTAAGGGTTTGTTTGGGCAGATCGATCGATGCTCTGCCTCACCACCATCGTTTCTTTCAGTAGATTACTAGATTGATCATCTCTACCTGAAATGTTTGGCTCTGATGCACATATCCTGTTGTTTCACCCTGTTCTCGACAGAAAGGAAAAGAAAAGAATCGACACATCTTTTTCAGATTACTACTTCACCTAACCAAAATTTGTTCCTTTAAGTAGATCTACTGCGTCTGGTACAAATGGTTAGTATTTAGGACTGCATACTTGCTTCCGACTTCCGATGCATACCTATCACCGTTTCAGCATGTTTCTCAGGAAGCAGATTCCACAGATAGCTACTTTACCTCATTGAATTGTTCTCTATTAGTTCATTTGAGCATGGCAATGGAGTTAATTTTGATCTTGTATACAAACAGCAAATATCGATCATATACTTCTGCTCAGATGTGCAGCCAATGTTTCGGCCTGTACTTGAATAAGATGGCACTGATGAATCTATAGTGCTAGCTGCTGATGATTCTAAGGACTTGGTGAGTTGAGTAATACAATTTTTCACCCGCAAAAAAGAAAAGAAAAAAAGAATAAGATGGCACTTCCTTTCCGATACATATAAGATGAATGCTGTCAGCTCTTTTCATCTAAACAAAAATGGAAATGGTCTGTATGGTCACTAATGTTGGGCCATTGCAAGAACACAATTCTTTTGCAGCTCATTATATTCGACTCATGTGTTGGTGTTTCTAGCCGAGTATGGCAATCGAAGGATCCTTCCCTATTTTAGTCATACACCTCATTCTCTGAAAAATCATGCTGAGTGTACTGTTTAAGTTTAGTGGCGGCTAATACTTACTGCAGCTGTTGTTACCAAGTGCAAGAAGCATATATATGTGTAGTGCCAGGTTAGGTCGTACGGCGAATGTAGTTTTACTACCTTCTTTCTGTCTGATGTATTGATGGTTTCCGCCGCATCTTCATATTGTCATTATACTCTGAACTTATCAGCTTTCTTATAAAATTGAGCTGATCGCCTTTGCTCTTATATAGAATAGTAGAAGAAACATGTGTATTGCTAGTTGCAGTTTTCACTCTGTTTAACTATGAATCCTATATCTTCTCTTGTAGGCTTTGCATGATGGAGGCTGCGCGGTATCGACCTTGGTCAGATCTCCTGCCCGAACTTCTGAACCTTGTCCTCAAGCGTCTCCCTTCCCTAGCTGACCGTGTTCGTCTGAGGGCAGTCTGTCACCCATGGCGCTCTAACTGTCTGCTGCAACCGCTTCCCGTCCCGTTCCCATGGCTCACCCTCCCTGATGGAACATTCCTCTGTATCCCAGGAGGCGAGGTTCACCGCATGCCAGCTGTACCAGATGGTGTTAGTTGCCGTGGCTCCATCGATAACTGGCTATTTCTCATGAGTAGTGATGATGCATGCACATTGATGAACCCTTTCTCCAAGACCACTTTGGAGCTTCCTAATCTGGTCTCAGTTTGGCAGCGTAAGGTACACTACGAATCTGATCCTACACAACTTCTCTACAAGTTGGTGGTGCCCTCACCCCAGGACCTATCGCCTGATTCCCTCATTGTGGCATTGATGATGGCCGAAGTTAATATTGGTACACTTTGCATTATCCAGCCACCGATGGCCACTTACTCGTTACGAGACAATAGGCAGCCATTATACCACCCGTATGATGTTGCTTTCTTTGATGGAAAGTTGTATGTGGTGTCTTCCACTGGTAAGCTCTTCATCCTTGAGTTTCGCAGCAACCTTGGTAGTATTCCAAACATCAAATGCGTAATTGAGTCTTTGGGTGTTTGCCTTGGAGTACCAGAATGCGTTTCCAGAGAGAAAGTGTGTACATTCAGGTTGTATCTAGTTGAATGCGGTGGTAGACTGTTGATGGTTCAACGATTTATTCGTCACCTGGGCCCTCTCTGTAGGGATAATATATTTGAAAATATGCAGACTATTGGGTTTGTTGTCGTCGAGGCAGACTTGCACTCTGAGCCTTGCCGATGGAGAATGATCAGTGAGTTGGGTGGCCATGCTCTCTTTGTTGGCAAGCATGGCTCCAAGTCTCTGCCTGCTAGAGAATGCAGCGGATCCCAAGAGGATTGCATCTACTTCATTTGTGACTATGCACATCCAAAGTTTTCTATGAGTCCATTTCATGACTCTGGTGTGTACAACATGCGGAATGGGAGGATCACACCATTGATGTCTCAGACTGCAGCACCTGCACATGATGCATGCCAGTGGCGTCCGACGTGGGTTTTCCATGCTGGAGCTGTGTGATCAATCCGGCAGGGTTTGCTCTACTGTTTCAGAGATTCTCATGTGTATGCCTAATTTGTTCTGCTGAAGCTCTTTGTGATCAACCCAGCCTGGGCGCTGCTCATCTTTATCCTAGTGTTATGTTATCGTTCGACTTACCTTCGTAATTTGTATGTTGATCAACCCAGCCTTGTTCTGGTTATGTTTTTGCTAGGGCTATCTCATGTACCACCAAATTTCGAACTTTTGATTGGTATGATCGTGTGCACTTCAAATCTTACCGATGATCTCAATGGGATTTATTCAGATGTGCAACTTGATCTTTGTTTGAGTGATGAGACTATTAAGCTAGGGCATGTACGTGAACAACCTCTCCCTGGAGGTGAACAAACTTGGGTGTTTCATTAGCCATTGAATCCTGATTGCTGCCTGCAGGGGTTACTGAGTTTTGCTCACAACTATGATCATATTTTGGATTGCTTGGCACTCCCATGTGAAGGCAAGTTTCTCTGCTTCTTTCGAGATGAGAAAATCATTCTATCTATGAATGGTCCTAAATCTAGTTGTCTCATATAGAAGCGTTCTATGGGTCTGTAAAATTTTATTAAGAAATGCACTAATTTGTGAAATTTAAACTGAATGCAGCAACTTTACCGCATGGCCTTGGGAGATTGCAAACAAATGTTGGAAGTTAAGATATGCTTTGGTAAGCAGCTAACAAAATCAGGGAGCAACGTTGCCTCTGAAAGACTGGAACCGTGGCCACACAAAATACACCTTTACGGTGGATGCTGCCGATACCTCGCAAACATGGAATTGTGACATGTGTATGTGATGCTCACCACCATTCGAACATCGACTTTTAGCACAAAATCCCATTCACATTACACAGGATGTAGCGTTGTGTTCTGCGTCGAGCTACTGATCTTGCTTGACAACAGCTAGGGGTGCGCGAGAAGGGATGAAAAAAGGTTCGGATTTCTCTCATTGATGGGTCACAGTCTCACAGATGACAAGATCTTTACAAGGACGCGGACATCTTCCGCCCCACACCTACTTCTAATCTTGCAGACATCCTACCTGTCATCCTTTGAATTGGAGCTACATGTTTCCAACACAAACTCTTCTCCATAGCTGGTCATCAGCATACAGATAAAACTGATTTCTTACTTCTTTGCGTGCCCCTGTATGTGCAGAAGGCAGAGGTAAGACTCTATACTGTGCCATGGCAGACAAGCGGCCTAATTGTGGAAGTCACCCGGCAGCAGCATACAGCTGATGCTGCAAGTCGGACAGCAACAATACTACGACAAGTGCAAATGTTTTGCTGTCACCAGCTTTCAGCGTCAGCAAGCTAGAGATCATGTAGTAATAGCTCCCAGACGTCAAATACTCCAATTAACCTAGGGTGCAAAATGCAGATATTATTCTTCAGCAATTTTTAGTCGACGGCACCATCGCTGTTCGAAAAGAGCCAATCATAGACCTTTTCTGGAACTCCATACTCTCTGAACGGATCAGTACAAACCGCTTCTTATCAGCCTTCCCATTCACTTGACTGTATCGAAGAACCTGCACATTCTGTTTTCTGACCTCAAACTGCAGCATGAAATGTATGCGGATCTTCAGCTAATGTAACCATTGCACGATGCAAGAATGTTTTAGGTTATACCAGCCATGTATTAATATATACTAAAGGCACGGATACAATACAACAAAAGATACGAGAACATGCTGGAAATTCCGAGAAAAAATGGCAAACCATCTTTTTTGAGGGTAAACCACACTTTATTTAATGTTTGAAGTACGTACAGGAATTACAAACGGGTCATGGGGAGACCCCATCCACAAGTGGCAAACCATCTGAGATAATTTGATCAACCAATGTGTTATGGGCTTATGGGCAATGTCCGATGGACTTTCATAACCTCAAAATTTTGTGCAGCATTGGCGGCTCCATCTCTTCTTTCTGCCTATGCCTCTCAGTCTGCACGACGCTCTCCCTTTGATTCCCATCTTGGTTCACGTACCATTGGCGGCGGGCATGCCTACACATCCTTGCCGGCCGGCGCCGTGCACTACAAAAAACACATCCGTGACATTTTGGGCTGAATGAAAAAAAATTCTGTCATACTTATGACACTTCTAAGATGATAATTGTGACAAAACCCGGTATCATCATAGATGTGGTGGGCTCCTACTTCTATGACAAAAAATCATGACAGAAAATGGGCTTTTCGTCCTGAGCGGGCCGGAGACGCAGCTCCATGACATTCTTTGGGCCGTGCATGACGGAAAAGCCCGTGGTCGGGGGCCGAGCGATGCGCGTTTCTCTTGTACATGTACGCGCGTGGGTGCGAGGCGTTGGACTCTAACTAAACCCGAGCGAGGCGTCGCCTAACTGAACCCGAGCGATTGCACTGCAGGCTACGCGTTACTGAACCCGAGCGATCGAGCGATTTGTTCGCTACTGCTGCTAACTGAAGCCGGTCGATGCTGCCTCTGGATGAACAGTGAGCATTGTTGTGTGTGGGGGGGGGGTGGATGAACAGTTCCCGGTGGGGGTTGGATGAACATGACCCAGTGGTGTTGCCGCTGGATGAACAGGACCCCGATCGATCGAACCAGTTGGGCGTGGATGAACAGGACCCCGTGGAGGGCTGGATGAACAGGACCCCGTGGAGGGAAGGTTGAACAGTAGTCGGTGGAGGGCTAGTTGAACAGTAGCCGGTGGTGAGCTGGATGAATAGTAGCCCGTGGTAGGGTGGTTGAACAGAACCCCGTGGAGAGGGTTGGTTGAACAGTAGCCGGTGGAGGAGCGCGCGGTTGAGGCTGGATGAACAGGAGCCCGTGGATGAACAGTCGCAGGTGGAGGCTGGAGGAGGTCGATGATGGATGAACAGTAGCCCGTGGAGGCTGGATGAGGTCCACAGTGGAGATGAACAGTATCCCGTGGAGTCCTGTTTTGCGGTACGCCACACCCCTCCCGATGAACAAGACCACCGTTTCGACCGTAGCTCTCCAACATAAGTTTGTTTTCTCCGTTTTGCGGTACGCCACACCCCTCCCGATCAACAGGACCCCGTTTCGACCGTAGGAGGTCCAACAGAAGTCCGTTTTCTCCGTTTTGTGGTACGCTAGATCCCTCCCAATGAACAAGATCCTATTTTGACTGTGGTCGGTCGAACACAAGGCCGTTTCCTCCGTTCTGCGGTACGCCAGGCCCCGTTTTGATCGGGTGTTCCATCCAAGCCAGTTGGCTCCCGATGAACACGACATATTCCGTTGCCTCCCGATGAACACAGACGCATTTCGTTGTCTCCCCATGAATACGACGACGATGTAGTTTCTCCGTTCCGATCCAACCATGTACACGAGCCCTGCCCGTACGTATGCGCGAGTAGGCATTCGAGACCCCGCCCGTATGTACATACGTGGCCGTTTTTACTTTTTTGCACCCTGGCCGCTGTATGTACGTGTACACGGTATTAACGGGACTGCGTGACATGCTACGTGCACGCTTCTACTACGACACGTGCCCTTCCTTATACAGCCACAGTTCATCGCTATAGCCTGCAGACAGACCGATTGACTAGTATGTACGTACACGTTCACGATCAGAATGACAACGCTACGTACGCTTCGACCAGGTGTGCCCGACTGTCAAGCACTTCCTTGTGTGCGAAGATGTAGCTAGTGGGTCCCAGCAGTCAGGGGGCGAATCATTTTTTTGCCAGTAATATGGACGCACTTCCTTGCATGCGAAGATGTAGCTGGTGGGTCCCAACAGTCAGGGAGGAAATGTTTTTTTCACGAAATACGGTCGCTAGTTCGGTGGATCCCTGCTGTCAGGTGGATGAATCATTATTTTCCGCGTAATAAGGAGGCACTTGCTTGCTGCGACCGTGGACCCAGCTGTCAGCCTCTCCATGTACAATACTCTTCCATATGGAAGTCATTCATTGACCATATTGATCAGGCCGCGTAGAGAGCACCAAGGCGGTGGACGACGGCGAGGCCTAGGAAAGGGACAACACAGAGCCGAGGAAGACGGCAATGGATGCCCACACAGAGAGGAGTACGAGGGTTCACTGGTTCGGCTGCGGTGTGAGGCTGCCATCGCTGTAGGGCCTGGCCAGCGGTGGGAATAGTAGGGGGTGGTGAGGCCTCCACGGCAACACAGCCGGCCACGAGAGGTAGGAGCGTGTGGCACGACCGACACTGCTTTGAGTGGCTGGAGCAAGAAGACCAGAGGTTGAAGAAACACTACAACCATTGGATGGACATCATACGGTCACTGGAGCTAGAATCGTTCATATTGACTAAGTTGATAAAGCCCTCCGTCCCCGTCAACTTAGTAGGCCCACGAGTCAGCCTCCCACTACGGTGAATCCCAGCTAGCTAGCAAGGGGAGTATTCATTTTTTTCTGCGTAATAAGGAGGCACTTCCTTGCGTGCGAAGATATAGTTGGTGGGTCTGAGCTGACAGCGGGGGGAACATTTTTTTATGAAATATAGAGGCCCTTCCGGTGGGTCCCAGCTGTCAGGTGAAGGAATCATTATTTTGCGTGTAATAAGGAGGCATTTCCTTGTGTGGGCTCCTACTGTCAGCCTCTTCCGATGGTTGTTGTTTGTTGACCATGTTGACCTCGCCGCGCCGAGAGCACAAACATGGTGGACGAGGGCGAGGCCGAGGAAGGGAACGACCCGGAGCCGGCGAAGCCACTGCAATGGATGCCCACGCTAAGGGGAGTACGAGCGCTGACTAGTCGACTGTGGGGTGAGGCTGATGTCACCGGAAAATAACAGGATGTGTGGGTGGGTAGAGGGATGGTCTATCGGCAACACAGTCAGCCACAGGAGGAGGGAGCAGGCAGTCCCGCTGGCGCTGGTTTGGGCGGTTGGAGCAGGAAGATCAGAGATTGAAGAAGCATGACGACCGTTGGATGGACATCCAACAGTCACTACTCTGTGTTGACTAAGTTGACAAAGCCTTGCATACGCATAAAAGAAATTTAGGA